AAATTGATCACTTGAAGGTAGATCAAGTGTCCACTGATCTGTCAAGACAAAACGGAGGTTTTGAAATGATTGTGATGTCAGCTGAGACCCTCAGCTGGGCTCATAGCTACACCAGACTTGAAGTGATACTTCATATCTGAACAGGTAAACAAGTGTCCTTTTCCTTCTGTGTTTGAGGCACCAGTTCCCCTAGACCAGGTGTCAGACTCAGTTCCTGTTGGGCTCATTGCCTCCCCACTTCTGGGCTACACAGTGGGCCTAATTATTTTATTAGCTGCAGAATTTTACCGCTTGTCACAGAGGTTTGAGAAATGGCCTGCGAAAGAGCTTTAGAAACATCCTGTAACTGCATAAGAAAATAATGAGACTCAGACTGAGGGGAAAACCTGAAGACACTGGGCTCTGCAGTTACAGGATGAGTTTGAGACGGTTCTAACATTCTCCAAGACGGGAGTCTCTTCAGTCCCTGCCACCTGAACAGACACAGAGCCAAGCGGCTCTGTTTTGGGGTTAATTTATGTTAGTGGTGTGTGTGGTATCTATACAGTACTTTTATTTTGTTGCATGTAGGTTGCAGTTAAAACAGTGCGTTTACAGGGGCAAAGTCACAGGAAACTGCTGTTATTTCCCATAAGAGCTTATTGATTTGTCCGGTGTTGACTTTTCAGGGTCGGTGAGGGATCCCTATGTTCATATATACTCCAGAACAAGCTGTGGAACCTCCTCTGCAAGTACCGATTTGAGATCTTCTGCCCGCTGGGTAGCTGTTTGACCTTTGGGCTCATAACAAGACTTGTTCCATAAACCTTTTCTCCCACTGCAGGGTGTGCAAGAGGTGGAAGAGGCTTATCCGTGACCACAGGCTGTGGAGACGTGTGGATTTAACCAAGTGCGGCGTGGTGAGTTGCCGTCTTGCCCAACTGTTCCTGTGACTTGCCAGTGGAGCTGCTCTGCGACAGAGTGCAGTGAGAGTCGAATTACCCGGAACTCTTCATCTGCAACCTGTCGCATCTTCGGACCCATAACTGACTGGAGCGCTTCACACTGTGCGGGGTCACCGCTGGGAGACTGTGATCTGTTCTAGCCCTCTTCACACTGGCCTGCCCGAGCTGAGCCATCGCGATGCAGCTAGCCCTGTTCGTTTTGTCAAGCTGAGCCAGAACCAAGCCCAACACGCTTTGTTGTCCTATGCCGGGTCCCAGCAGGCCCGGGCCCTGCAGAGCAGGCTCCTGAAAGAGGGAAGTGACTGAGGGTCTTGTCTTGTGTTGATAATGGAAGCCCCAAATTCAGGACAGTACACCCGACAGCACAGCCTGATTTTCTTCTTCCATTCTGACAGGTGAACTCGAGGTTGCTGTGGTTGCTGGTGAGGCGGTACCTGGGCGCCGGACTGCGAGTCCTCTGTCTGAGGGGCCTTCTGTTTTCCGTCAGAAACCGCACTCTCCTCTCTCAGCCCTGGCTGCAGGCGCTTGCCAGACAGTGTCCCAAGCTGCACTGTCTCATCCTGCTGCACGCTGACCTGAAGGAGGTGGGCAACTACCAGCGCCTGCCTGCCTCTCTGAAGACGCTAGAGCTCATTACCTGTGAGGTGCCGGGGGCATTCTTCCACAGCAGTGGTGTCAGCAGTGGGATCAGGATAGAGACCTTAGTTGTGGAAAACGTGTCCTCTTTCTCAGACCAGCACCTGAAAGCGCTGGGAAACTGGGAGACCCTGAGGAGGCTTGAGCTGAGGGATGCCTTCAGGGTGACAGAAGCTGGCATCCGTGGTTGTGCCAGCGGACACCTGACACAGCTGGAGAGCCTAGAACTCGGGAGGAAAGGCACATGCTCCACGCAGAACGAGAGGGCGGCGGCGGGCATCGCAGAGGGACTGCCAGGCCTGGTGGAGCTAACCCTGGGTGGGGCTGAAGTGCTGAACGGGCTGCCTTGTCTCCCGCGCCTGGCCCGGCTGCGTTCCCTGCGGCTCCAGCACTCCTCCCTGTCCCCCGCTGACCTCCTGCCTGCCTGCCAGGGAGCGCCCTCCCTCCGCAGCGTGGTGCTCAGCGATGTCTCGTTCTCCAGCGCCGCCGACCAGGACTCCATCCAGCAGGGCTTGCTCCATTGCGCTGTGACTTGCGTCCGCTGCACTGCAAGGGCTGTGCAAAGTTAGGCCTCACAAAGCAGGACAAAGGCAGTGCCCTCGGTCAGCCAGCAATGGTCAGACATTTGCCTCTTGGAGATCTCCCCCTTTGTTTTGTAAAGGGTTTGTTTTTTCCAGGCAATTTATTAATTCATATTTGGTGGAAATGTAGGCGCTATTAAATGTATTGCTTTCTCTTTTATCATCTGTCAGATTCATCCAGTATGAGCTACGTGGGAAAGGGGAATGATTGTGAGAGATGATTGTCTTTGTGATATTGGCACAGACCAGGAGCAGCCACGGAGTTTGAGTCTGGTACTAAATCTAACTGTATTTTGAAGTTTGTTTATTTATGTACGGGCAGGGGAGTATTAAATAAAGCAGACGGATAATTAAGTGAGTCACACTATTTCATCACTTGAAACCAGACCGACTTGCACAGCAGGCAGTTGTGCTAGTCTGAATCTAGGTCAGAGGAACAATCACAGTCCAGAATACATGCTGTACCAGACCATGTATTTAGCCAGCAGCCATATCACCCTGCAGCTCACAACTGGCAGCCCACTGAAGCTCAGCAGGCGTGAGCCTGGTCAGTACCTGGATGGGAGAGCTCCTGGGAACAACTAAGATTGCTGCTGGAAGAGGTGTTAGTGGGAATAGCAGGGGACGCTCACCCTGCGGTCCATGTGGGTCCTAATGCCCCATTGTAGTGAGGGGGACACTATACTGTAAACAGGCGCCATCCTTTGGATGAGACATAAAACCGAGGTCCTAAATCTCTGTGGTCATTAAAAGAGTCTATGAATTGGCTTCATTACTCTGCTCTCCTCCCCACTGAGAGCTGGTGTGTGGGGAGAGTACTGGCACACTATGGTGCCGTCGCATCATCCAAGTGGGGCTGCACATTGGTAGTGGTGGAGGGGATTCCCATTGCCTGTAAAGTGCTTTAAATGGAGTGTCCAGAAAAGCGCTATATAAGTGTAAGCAATTATTATTATGTACTTTACTGTAGTGTGGGAGTCTGCACTGTACTGCCACAGGGAACGGGATTGTTCTGTAAGAGCTGTACTGCCCTGCACTGGCTTGTATATGATCCTGCCTGTGCTACAAGGGGCTGCCCTTGGCTGTATTGTGCTGGCGTTGACTATACTGAGAGGCCCTGCTGTCCGTCAGCGTCAGTACTGTGCATCGCAGTCCCATCCTTTATCACGCTGTGCCATGCCCTGCCTTTCTCACTCTGTTGTTACCCCACAGTGTCACAGTTTGCCACTCTGTACCACACATTATCACAGTGTACTGATGGCAGCCCTGAAAGGTTCTTGATCACGTTTCAGCACAATAAAGCGCTGTACCACCATTGTGTTTGACATGACATTTGTTGGAGTTTAATCAAGAGCCCCGTCTCATCTCTAAGACATGTCTTTACTTAGCCAGCCAGACTGGGATAGTTAGCATCGAACCAGAGCACCCAGGGAAACTGGAGACAACATGCAAGCTCTGCACAGAATGTCCACATTTTACTTTTACACTAAGTGCACAAGAGCTGTGAGTCAGCAGCACTAGCTACCTCACCACACACTCTCCAACACAAAACGTACCGCTGTTATCATATTGGCTGAGTACAATAAATGTACAAGTCAGGCTGCAGACTAGACCACAGGCTCAGTTTGCAATCTTCTAAAGTACTGTATTGTTCACGGTTTCCTTCCATGACACTGGGCAGGGTGGCACCCTGGGGGTTTGGGGTGGGGGATCTGTGCGGTTGCCCAGGAAACAGAATATGCAGATGAGGGATATGCAGTAGTGTGTGTTTGCTCCACGATTGACTGGCAGCTGAGAAGACTGCTCCTTTTTTCCCCCCAAATAATAAACTTTAGTTTATAGCGCCTTTAAAACTGGCTTCTCAAAGCCCTTTACAGTAAGAAAAAAATACACTATGAGAGGAGACAGCAGAACTATACAATTACAACAGAGGAAGGAAAAGCAAAGAGGCATACACAGAACACAGTTGAATAAAAGCCCTACTCAAGAAGGCATTGAGTCAGGGAAGGTGACCCTCTGATAGCCTTGGGGAGAGAGTTCCAGAGCTTGGGGGCATCACAGGAGAAGGCCCTGTCACCCATAGAGTGTAGATGGGCTTGGGGGACAGTTAGGAGACAAAACTTAGATGTACGGAGGCTGAGAGGTGGGTAGTAGGAAGATCGTAAGTCAGACAGGTACTGAGGCGCCAAGCCTTATCAGTGAGCATGAGGATTTGGAAGTCAATACGAAACATGACAGGAAGCCAGTGCAAAGACTCCAGGATGGGAGTAATGGGATCACTTGCACAAGATCTGGTCAGGCTTCTGGCTGCCAAAATCTGGACACACTGAAGTTGTTTCATTATGTTAAATGTTTGGAGTGGGGAAAAGCCCTTTCTGTACAGTAAGAGGACATTAAAAGTTCTATCTTTGTACAACACAGTGTTGACCCGAGTTAACTCACGTTCCAGTATTTTCCATTTTCCATCCCACGGAATAGGAAATTATTGAAGAGCAAAGCAAGTTGTGTCTGACAATCCGACAGACCCTGAAACAGCTCTGTCCAAACAGCCTGCTGGATGACTGGAGGGCCTCATCATCGACCTTATTTAACTGGGTCATTCTAAAGGTACTCCTTTACCATGGACGTCAATTAAGTGTAACTGAAACTTATTTCCAAACATCCTTTTTTATAATAACTTCTGTCTTTACAATTCCTGATTTACAGTAACTGCTATCTGCGGCTTGTGGCCGGCTCTTGCAATTACATTTGCCGTCAGGTAGCGTGGCCGAGCGGTCTAAGGCGCTGGATTTAGGCTCCAGTCTCTTCGGAGGCGTGGGTTCGAATCCCACCGCTGCCAGTGCAGTCCTTTTAAAACGCTGATCACGCAGGGACGAAAGAAAATCTTAGAAAGAGAACACCTCTGAGCTCTTCCTTCGCATAAAGTGCTTTGTGGGTCAGAATTTTGAACTCCGCAGTGAACGATGCCCTCACTAAGATGTGATTCGTGAGGATTTCCCATCAGTAAAGACATCAAGTTGGTCGAGCGGAGCGCGGCGTCAGTGTTCGTCGGCTCCAAAGGAAACAGTAAAAGTCAGTCACTAGCTGAAAAAAAAGGGAATTTAAAACGTTAACAGTCGATTAAAGCAGTATGTGATTCTTTTTTCCAACATGCATTAGTGATTTATTTTGCTAAGACGGTGATAGCCTGAACGTTTCATACTGCTGTCAGTTTAATTTTTAAAGTTTTTTTTTTGCTGCATCGTTGGAGCTATTCGGCCTAATATTTTGAAGTTTTTATTCGGATGGATTTTCCCGATAAAATGATTAAAGTTGACATGACCCCGTCAAAGCCTTAACGGCGCTTTATACTCACAACAGAGTTTATCGTGTGGGTTTTGAAACACGTTAGCACAGTGAGCAAGAAGTAACAACCTTGCTCTAAATAAACACATTTCCGAGCACAGGGGCCGCACTCTTAGACCGTCCACGTGGGAATCATGTGTGGCGCGAGTTCGCTTTTTCCCGTTTCGCACGAGAAACAACAATCATGAAGTTGAAGCCGGTATTTTGCTTGCTAATTGAAAAGTATCCGATAAGTAACAGTATCGTCACCTGCGCGCTTGGAGCTGGTTTATACAAATGTTCTAGGGACGTGTTTATTGTGAGTGTGTGTAGAGGGAAAAGGTGTACAATATCGCTTTTATTGTCACAGCAACTGTTGAGACATGGAAAAAGTGAAGAAAAACTGCCCTATACCATCGCGAAGCGCTATTTTCGCTATTTAACGTTGTGCCATTGTTGGCTGGAACTATCGATAGATCTTAATCGACATCCTGTCCATGCGCTAGGGGGTGCATTTCCCTTTTGTAGAAGGGTGCTCTATAGGGCGCCCCTCAATGCCCTTTCAAATCCTTCGTGTTTTTAGACATTCCGAGGTATTATTCGGGAAGGCAGTTGAATTTGAATTGAAATGGGAAGGCAGTAACATTCGAGGGGAAATTCAGTCTGTAAATAAAAGGCACCGCTGGGATTCGAACCCAGGATCTCCTGTTTACTAGACAGGCGCTTTAACCAACTAAGCCACGGCGCCAGTTACAGCGAAACATGACGTATTTGTCCTTTACAAAATGGAGTCTTACGTATCTTTGTTATGAAGGATGTTTGAGTTTTCAGTTTACATTTAGTGTGTTTTTATAAAAAGTGTGTTTATCGTGCTGCACTGCACAGACCTTACTACAAACCGCAAAGTCGCTAGTATAACAATTCTGTCTGACTGCAACGTCTACATCATAGCGGAGCGAAGCCGACATGCGACGAGGTGGCCGAGTGGTTAAGGCGATGGACTGCTAATCCATTGTGCTCTGCACGCGTGGGTTCGAATCCCATCCTCGTCGGTGGCCGTCTCATTTTCCTTTTCAAAATTGGACCCAGTTTGAAAAAGAGAAAAATCATGTCGCCTCCGCAAGTTACTGCCATGTACTGTAACGCAGAACACGATGTTCAATTCACTCAGCACAGCACGAAAAGAGACCTTTCTTATTGTTTTTTTCTTTCGTAGGTAAATAACTCGCGTAAACCGTTCACGCACCATCTTTGAAAATTGGAAATATATTTTTCTCTCTCTGATATTCTTTAAACCTTCTGTGACCGATGTTTTTTTTTTTAGCGCGATGTGAGGTGTTTGGCTTCAAAAGATGTGGCAGCGGTGGGATTCGAACCCACGCCTCCGAAGAGACTGGAGCCTAAATCCAGCGCCTTAGACCGCTCGGCCACGCTACCCGCACAGACTTGTTCCAGTCAGAGCTGGTTCCCTTTGTGCACAAAGAGCCGGAAGCTGCGAATTCCGGCGACGGACTGGAGAAGTAACCAAGCCGACCACACCCGTGACGTGCTCCGCGGGGCTCGCTTCTTGAAAAACTGCACTGAGAAAGGCAGTAAAACTGACCAACAAAAAGGTTTGACGCCGGTGCGTTCGTGCATCTAATTGAAAGATTAAAGAAAATGTTGGCGGAAAACGCTGCGAGCAGGGTTCGAACCTGCGCGGGGAGACCCCATTGGATTTCGAGTCCAACGCCTTAACCACTCGGCCATCGCAGCCGACGTGTAACTCCGCCTCATCAACACTCAATAGGATGCGGACGAGATCATCATTTTTTTTTCGACTTTCTTTTTAAAGAAATAAAAAAAGATCTGGAGTCGTAGATTCCCATTTTAATCACCATTTTTTCGGGATGATTTGTGTTTCACCATCAGAAAACACCGCCCCGCTCTGACGCATACGACAACCCGGAAAGGGACTGGTAATCCTCGCGTTAACCTGCTGTTCGTGTCTGAATCCTGCAGTGACTACGTTTGAAGCAAAGTTTCTTTTT